GGATGTGAGGTATGTCTGAGCCCGTGAGCTCTCGTGCTGCAAACTGGGTACCCTTGTCTCCAGCATCCGCGGCCCGGGCTGGGCTGCGGTGCCGGAATATCCTGCTCATCAAAGATAAAGCATAAGTGACTGCGTCGAGCTGCCACTGTTGTGTGTCTGGCACAGCCAGCCTGAAGAGGGCTGCTAGTGGTTCGGCAGTTCCCTCCCACCCATCTGGAGCCGCCGGACTTGTGGACCCATCAGTATATTGCATTTGATCGCTGCGTGAAGGGCTTCCCGGCTTCTATTCCCAGGCTGTGGAATCCACCATTTCGCAGTTCGGCCACTTTCGGATCTTTCCCGCTACGCCTTGGGGCGTGTGTGACATTCTGGAGTGGTTCCTTTCCTCCACATAGCGCTTCCAAACCATGGCAGCTCTTGTCTAGCTGTCCAGCTGCGACAGACTCTGGACTGTGTTTGCCTGGCTTGCGCAATCCCTCGCGGTATCTGTATGCGGCAACTTACGCCTCTGTTTCCCACGCTGGAACAAGATGGGACGCCGAGAATGCCTTGCGTGAGAGGGTGCGATTTCTGTGCGCGGCTTGCACGTCCTGCAGACGCATTTGGGGTTGAACAAGCCGTGAACAAGAAGCACGATGTCGCCCAATCTCTGCTGCAGTATGCTGTCCAGCTGTGTCTGCCGGGGCGCTGGACTTGTGGGCTGTTGATTGCAATCGATCCCGTTGTGGTGTCTGACACATGAACACAAATCGCCATGTGTCACCCAGTTCCTACTATTCACTTCTGCAGTACGCTGGTGAGGCATGGTTGCCCAGACTGTGAAGGCTTGCCTACGGAGGCATGCCCGACTTGCGCAATGCAGGGCTGCTGATGACGCAGTTCGGCTGCCTGCCCGCCTTCACCGAGAGACTCGGACGCACGTGGACTTTTGCTGCAGCTCTGCGCCGTGCCTCCAAGCCACCGCAGCTCGTGTCCAGCCGTCGAGCTGCGGCTCTCCAGAGTCTGGATAGCTTGCGGAGCCTTGCCATTCCCCACCCGAAAACAGTCCTGCTGGCTAGTGTATGGGGTTTGAGGCCTTCCATGGCGGTTTCGTTCTGTACCTCGCTGGCCGGGATGCGGTGCCGGAATGTGTTCTCCCATTCCCCCCAAAGACTGTCAGCTTCAAGTAATTGCACTGAACTGCCACTGTTGTGTGTCTGGCACAGACAGCGTGCAGACACTTGCCGGGCTTGCGCAACTCCTCCTTCTCGGACATTTCTGGAACATTTTACTTCGGCAATCACGATTTGCCACTGCCTCGGGTCCGTGCTGGAATGAGATGATATATTGCCGAGAAATGCTTTCACACAGTATTCCAACCCTGCGACCCTGAATTCAAGCAAGGTCATGAGCTTTGCGCTGTTTTAGCACGAGACTGGTGAAATCCTGCGCGGCTTTTGCCTTCATAGACTCTTGCGGGGTATAGGGGCTGCTGGGCACGCGCCATCACTTCCACCAGATGTGTCTGGCGTTGACCACGCATGAACAACGACCCGGATTGGCCACTTCGAATTGGGCTCCAAATTCCCAGACCATACCAGATCCAGCGCCCCGCCTGGACATGCCCCCCGCCCATCCAAACACAATTGGGGGATACACAGTTGCTGAGGGGGCAAGCAGGCGACTGGTTAAGCTCTGGACAGCCACGGATGGGCAGGATACTGTTGAATCCTGGTTAGTGTGGCCTCTACATACCCGACCCTCGCAACTTGCTAGTCCCAGACCCCTGCGTGGAAAGCAAAACAGCAAGCTGCAAAGTACACTGGAATGACGTGTGCGTCTGCTGTGCATCACTTGGCTCTTTCGGAGCGGAGCAGGGCTTCAAAACTTCAAGCGGCTGGACTCGTGCAGTGCAGGTACACCCTGTGCTCTCATGGATGCCGTCGTAAAACCTTTGTAAATCTTCTGATTGGGAGCTGTGTGCGAAAACCCAACGAGCGCAAGGTTCACAACAGAAAAGGTCCGTGCAAGGTTTGCACGACCTGTGCATCATACTGCAACCCACACGCCTGAAAAACCCAGCCCCAAGTACTGTACTGATACAGCGACTGCCCCTTGTACTGGCTCAATTAACTTTACTTGGCCCTGGGCCTCTTGGACAGGATTTGTCTGGTTTCAGGGGTCGGGGTCTCGGGCGCTTTGGTATGCTTTGGGTGTTCAGAGGATTTCAGGGGTGCAGACCAAAAAGTCGAGATGAAGCAGAAGAACGGGCCGCAAAGAAAATCCATGTAGCAGAAAGTCACAGGTGTCGATTGTGGAAGCCAAGTCGATGTCCGACTCATACGGCACCTCTGGACAGCCATGCCTGGGCAGCCATGCATCTTGGATCCTGATTAGTGCGACCTTAACGCACCCTGCCTCTGGGCCCACACTCCCCTGGCGGGGTGGAAACCAGAAAGCACGTTGCCCAGCCACGCTGGAATTGTGGGGTGCTTGTCTCTCCGGAGCGGAGCCTTAGTTGAAGCGGCTTGACAGGAGGAGGCTTGACATGAGGACCCCTATGAAATCGTACTGGGCAGGCGCACTTTTGCCTGCGACTTAGAAGCCCGGTACCTACCTTTGAGGGTATGGGCTGTCTGATCCAGGAGCGCAAGGTTCGCAACACGCAAGGTCCGCGCATCTTGAAGGACCTGTGCAGCAGGCTGCAACCCGCAAGCCTGATCTGAAAAACCCAGCCCCAAGTATTGTACAACGACTGCCCCTCGTACTGGCTCAATTAGCTTTACCTGGCCCTGGGCCTCCAGGACAGGATGTGTTTGGTTTCAGAAGTCGAGGTCGGGGTCTCGGGCACTTGGGTATGCTCTGGGTGTTCAGGGGACTCCAGGGGCGCAGACCCGAAAGTCGAGATGAAGCAGAAGAATGGGTGGCAGAAAGTCATAGGTGTCGATTGTGGAAGCCAAGTCGATGTCCGACTCATACGGCACCTCTGGACAGCCATGGCTAGGCAGCATAATTTTGGATCCTGAGAAGTGCGACCTTCGCACCCCGTCTCTGGGCCCACACTCCCCTGGCGGCGTCTAGAGGATTTGGGTCTGAGGTCCACGGTCTGTTCCAAGGGCCTTCAGTAGTAGCTGGCTCCCGGGCATCTTTCCGCGACGCAGCGTTTGTAACAGCTGATCTTTCCTGGGGCCAGCCACCCATTCTACCACCGTGGGGGGGGGAAAAGAAAAATAGGCTGCGAGCATCCGTTCTGTAAGGTTCCAAAACAAAGCCATGGAAGTCAGTGCGATTTGTGATGACTCCAAAGCTGCTGCGACAGCAATCTTTTGGCACCACGCGCTGCACACGTTGCTGACGGAATGCCCGAGGAAAGGCGCAGCCACTGTCGCCGCCGGACCCCTCGTGCAGACGATCAGCTTCTTCAGCCTCCAACAGGAACAACGGGACCCGATGGCAGAGGCGTGTACTAAGTGAAGCAAAACATTCGTGAAGATGAAGCAAACATGGCCGTGGCTCTAAATGTCCGCCGAAGAGCAGATCAACCTGGTACTGAGGCAATGCTTTGGCGAGGAAACGGGGCACGTGTCGAACTCGAGTCTTATGCCTTTTGTACCACTTGCTTCGGTGTTGGTCCGATTGCCCTGAGCCTTGAGTCTCCTTCACTGCCGGGTGGCCGGTGGTGACCCTGTCTCGGAAGCCAAACCCTCTTCCTCTGCAGAAGTGTAATCTTGCAGTCACTCCGAACACGTTCAGCCGTAAAGCATTCATTCTGCGCTCTCCGCAGCTTCTGCCGGCTTTTCAAGGCTGATCCTCTGCGCAAGTGCTTTGCAGGAGCATGGCGCGCGAGGTGCAATTTCAGCCCTGAGCTTGTGAGTCCTCCCGCGCGCGTTGGTGTATTTCAGGGTTCTTCCGGATTGTCACATTAGGCTCGAAGGTTGCCAAGTTCCTGTCTGCGATGTGCATTCGCAGGAGTTTGGACAGCGATCTTTAAGAGACGACCTCTTGCTGAGCTTACGCAGCAAAGTGTGGAGTCGGTGTCGCTGGTGCACTACTCCGAGAAGAAGCCCATGATGGCGGCAGGCGACACGTTTGATGCATCGTTCGCCCCATCCTTGTCACCATATGCACCCCAAAACACCAGCAGATCCCACAACATGATCTCAAGACCCATTCGGCCATTCGGCGCTTCGAACGTGGAAGCCTACACTCGCTAGGCACTTTCAAAGAGTGTTAAAAGACCCTGTGATGTTAACCGCCAGATCTGGGACTCATTCTAAACATTGGAAAGCCTTACCGTTGGGCGGTTCACAATCATTCACTGGAATCCATCCCACCTGTCAGTCTTGCCCATGAATCTACTGTCTGTCTAACCTTCCGGAATCTCCCTGTCACACCTTGAGACCCTAACTAACCTGGACACGACCTCCCTGTCCCATATCATTCGCTCACCAGTCTTGCCCATGAATCCGCCCTTGAGACCGGCACGCGGTTGATGATGGCACCTGTAACCCATCAGCACCAGGGAGAGGAGGCTACACCGGCAGCAAAGGTCCAAAGGTGAGACAAGTGAAATCATGATAGGTGATCTGGAGAACTAACCCGTGAGTCAATAAGCGAAAGGAATCCAGACCAGGGATTAACAGGGTAATGTTAATTAATGCAATGCGGGTCATGGCCTTGATTGGCCGACCAGATCAACCCAAGTGACACCGTGCGCAGCACCCTTGTTCTAAGAACGCGCGTGCTGCTGCGATTCTCCCGGCAAGCTCCACAGATCACATAGTGTGGCGATAGTGTACTCCAGGAGTGCACAAGTCGGACTTTCGCCCCCTCCCATCCTGCAAAAGGGCACGCGTGAGCGGAGCTAGAAAAGAGACAGAGCCGGAGTCACTGAACGCAAGGATCAAGGCAAGGTGCGTGGCGCCATGACTGATCAAGCTTCCGGAACGTTAACTTCCTGCGGATCCCTGATGATCCCCCTCTTAAAGTCCGGGCCCAGAAAAGCTCCGCTAGTCGGTGTACTAGGGGTGATACCTGTCTTTCCGTGCCTGCTCGTGGAAAATGGCGCTGGAGGTCTCGCGGGAATCCTGCAGGCTATGGCCGCCTTGCGCTCCTCTTGCCCAGCGCGCCAGGTTTGTCTCGATCCCGGGCATGCACTGTTGTCCGCACACATCAGCCAGCGACAGCTCTTCGAGAGATGGCACAGTGTCGATCACAGCCATTGCGACTTTACAAGCGAAGCTGTAGATCGAGGTGTTGAGAGGTGCGCGGGGCGGGGAATGCAAAATGCTGGAGCCGAGATGCACAAAGGCCTTTGACTCCAAACGAGGCCTCAAAACCACCGACCCTGGCTGCACTGGTTGGAAGATAGTGGTGCCCATCCACATGCCACCGGTTCCTCTCCTTTTGCATTGCTCCCACACCCGCTGTACTGTACAAGGGTGAACCATGGTTGCCTCGTGTCAATCCCTAAACCCTAAACCCTAAACCCACAACCCGTATTAATCCGCACTGTGTTGCGGCTCAGATTTGGGGTGCAATTGCCTGTCGCACGTCTAGGGTTCATGCCGAAGCTTCTTACACCGCGGTCAGGATCGATTCTGCTCTGTTGGGAACCGGCTCATGGGAGGCGTCGCATGAGGCGCCGCGCTTTTGGCTCGAAGCTTGCACATTCCTCACTCCCCCAATTGCAATGTTTCAGAAAGCTGGACAGCACCGTGACACGACTGCGTGGGACGAGGAGTGGCGCGAGGAGTACTGAGAGGAGCGCTGATGGCTTCTGCCCACGGCTAAACCAACGCGTCCTGCCCCCTCCATGGAAAAGCTTGCCATTCCTGCCGTGCCCAGGACATGTTGTGCAAGAAGAAGGGTCACATGAGATCCTTGTAGCATCGACGGGCGATCGGTGGACCAGCGAAACCCATCCCACAACTGCAGCCATTCGCAGATATTCGCAGAACGTGACGCCTGTTTTTCACAGGCTTCTAATTCCAGAGCCCATTGCCTGTAGTAGTCATACTGGCCGGGGGATGCTCCAGGCGACACGGGCGGCTGAGATGGACTGCCCCCACTGGAACAAACATGGTGTAGTAGGTAGGTCTGGAGCCACGGCAAGCCAAACCTCTTGCGCACATAAACTCCAAGGAGGGTAATCAGTGTCGAGCCGTTGGGTCTTGACACTCTTGCTCGAGGAGGCGATCGGCCCAATGCTCACTGAGGTTGAACATCATGGGTCTTGAGGCGAGAGAAGAAAGACTTCGGATCTCTCATATAATATCTTGTGCGTTTGCTTCATCATTAATATTGGGATCTTTTTGTATTTCGTATATTTGAGGAATTCGATACATTTTCTTATCGATATGATGGGTGGATAATGATTACCATATCATTCTGAATCTTATTAATCGAATAAGAGATGCAAATGGGGAATTTTTTTCGATATAAGAATTTACTATTCTGAAAAAAAATAATTTTGAATTAAAGAAATGAAATGTAGGAACTCGTCGAAATATAAATAATAAATATAAACAATTACACAAATTTCGCATTCTCTGAGATATTCTACTATGTTGAATGATCCACTACCACTCCCTAATTCAGTGGAATATACTAGAAAGATGAAAAGATTTCCACGAATTTGAATTCTTAAAAATGAAAGGAAAAAGAAGATTTATTATCTTTCAAAATATTGTATCACTCGATTCACTCTATTCGTCCCTACTGGCCGCCTACGAATATTATGATTTTACGTGGAGGGTGGGGGGGCCTGGCGTCACAAGAAGATCAATAGAGAAATCACGAGCAGCAACGGAAATTTCCAGCAGCTGTCCAATTTGAGCTTTTGCAATCGCTAGTCCTGTTGCCCTTGCTTCCAGCTGGCTAGGACAAAAAATCCGAAAATTTCTGGGTATCTTGTTGATATATGATACTGCTCAGAGTTTGGCTTTGGGGTTTGCATTATAATATATGGCAGTGTCATTGTGCAGCAATTTGGTCGGCTGACTGAACGTCGAGGTGGCTACGTGAGATTGATACCTGGCGCTGGTCTTGATTTCGAGATACCCAGGGTCGGTGTGCTGGTTTCCTCTGAGGCCGAGCCAGTTAAAACAAAGAAATAAATTCATTCTGGATTTTTGGAGTGGGAACAAATAAAAATCATGAAAGTGAAATAATTCCAGATAGCTGAAGATCCGCAGATACGATTTATCCGAAAAAAAAAAAAGAAAAAAAAAAAAAATATATAATTCCAGACGCGTAACGCTTCACTTGACCTCTGTCAACCATCGTGGGGGCATCATCCTGGGGAATCAAATTTTTCAAGAAACTACCAACAAGAATACGTGAGAGGCGCCTCAATCCTCTGGTATAATGAGACTAGACATTCGAATCCATTCGAAATACTTATATAGATATCATTGGATACCAATCGAAATACGAGATATCAATCGTAAACGAGTATGACCAAAAATTTGTTGAGTTTTATAATCAATCGCCTAGCAGAGGGATTCGCACAGACGAATTACTTCTGCCTCCAAACCGCCCAATATCTCGAAAACCTCAGATTCAAATCTAATTCATTGGGCTCAACACTACTCTTGAGTAGCATGATGAGAACGTTTGATTTGGGCATAAGAACTGGCAATTGCCTGGACTTTTTCGGCAGCAACCTGAAATTCCCCAATCTTGAAAGGAGAATCAACCGCGAAGTCCAAAGCTACATGGGGATGCAAGGTCCATTGGGATTGTCTACACAAAGGAATCGGCACAAATAAGATATCAGCCGGTCGACGCCCCTGCTCCGCTGGCAAAAAGCCCTCCGGTTCAAGACGAGCCCCAAGCGTCGCATTTGACAAATAATGGAAATGGCATCTCGGATTTGATTGTATAATCGGACCTTTCCCCCCTCCATAGAGCAAGTGATGGCATGATATGTATAGATATCCATTATCTGAGGGCACCGAGCACACGCTTGTTCGACCGAGAACACTGGCAATCCAAGTCGTATAGAAATAGCATCAACGAATATAACACCACGGACCATGATCCCATACATGATTGTAACCGCGCAGCACCTCCCAAACAAACTTGAGACACAAGATGTCGTCGAGCCGCCTCAAAGACCGAGGGCAAGATATCCTTCTGAGCTATTGGCTCCCTGTATTCCTGGAGAACCGCCACGTAATTGGGAGGATGAGGCATCAATTCGTCACGAGCAGCTTCATATCCCAACGACACGAAATCCCATTCCGAGCGAAGCAAAGCATCAACTGCCGACCGAGTAGTACGGCACGCAACCAAGAAAATCAAATCAGACTTATGGTAAGTATCTCCATTCTTTTCAAGAGCATCGATCATCAAGCCCAAGCCGCCAGACGAAGCTGGCAAGCAAACCTATTGCCACACGATTGAAGGAACCTCCTGTCCCAAGATACTTTCAAAGCAACGTTTGAAGCGCGTATCGTACCATTCACACAAGTCAAGCAAAAGGCTCCGGGGAGTAGTGCGGGCCAAATAATTCAATTGTCCGAATCCCATATATTGCTGGAATAAATGGAAGGCCTCGTATTTGCGCGGATACGTCTCCAAAGCTTGAAATTGATTCTCGAAGAAACGTTATTTCTCTTCGCATTATTCTCGTAAGAAGACCTCATTATTTCCAACCGGAATTTTCAAGATCTGGATATCAAGACCCGTGACCATCCTAACGCCCAAAGCCTGAAAGCCAGAGACATCCCCACGAAAATATTCGACGGAAAACAAATAAAGAATGTATTATTCCAAATCATATCTCAAGCTGAATTCAGTTGCCAAGCGGATTTCCTCCTGGAAGGAACATAGCACATGGGAATTTAATTCCCCATTGAAAGCATCATCCGCATTTTCCGACTCGAATTCTGGATGAAACCCCGCCGCAACACGCGCAACCTCGACCATACATTTTCATATGAGATAAAATAAAGCCATCATCAAGGGACATCCTTGTTGGCCTCTCGAGCTGCTCTTCAAACGACCCCGATACATTAAATACGAATCGGCCCCATAACACCATTCCACGAATCTGGCCGAAGCCGGTGCAAATTACCGAGCATCCTGGCTAAATTGCACCGATAATAATTCATTAGATGCATTTTTCTGAAGAAAAACGATATCTTCACGATGCCGGGTACACCCAATCCACTCTCGACACGTATGAACCAAAGTCTCCGCACCATTCGAAAGTCCAACCGCAAGTTGAGTAGGCAACAACCTCTGTCGCATATTAATCAAATCCATTCGATACAAGCACTTACCGACCAATTTCCGAAGCACCTGTCCCATAACAATCGACGTCGCGTGTCGCGGTCAAGCGACACAGGACTCCTATCCTTCGTAATCTTATCCACGTCGATCAGAGTATCTCCAGCAAGCCATGGCTACAAAGCGTGGGGGATTTGACCATCAATTATTTTCTGAACAAATTCGATCAGCAATGGCACAAGTGACGAATCCTCACCCAAATCAATCAATCCCTTCAAGAAATCCGATCTTAATCCATCAGGTCCTGATCCCGATCCAATGAGCCCGGGACTTCGGGCGATGGCGATAACGTATTCGACTCGGAAATGGTCGCAGGAATTGGCGAAATTTAGCCACCAATTTAGCATGAATTTCCGAGATATCTCGATCTAAGCCAGGAAAGGTTAAACGCTTCAAGACTTGTTCCGGACGCCCCAAAGCAACTAGCCGACCAACATCAACACAAGCATCATCCCTCGACGAGACTTTTGCGCCGATTAGGGACCGATGTTCAATCACCATGATGACCTCATCCCGCAAATTACGACGTTCGCCCAACCGCCATCGCAATAAAAACGACCTGGTGATGAAACTTATATCCAAGGATATAATATCGCATCAGAAGAAAGAATACGAAGATGATCCAATGAGATCAAGATATAGAAAGATCGTGAGTAATATATACGGCTATTACACAGGACATTATGGAGATTTCTAAATGGAGAATATTCTATTATGTATTCTACTTGCCATCGTTCCGATATTTACTATTTGGAAGCTTCTAGATTCGAACAGGATATATATCAAATCCTCGTCCCTACGCGTCCATATCATTCTTTATTGGGATGGATGGTGCTTGCTCAGAGATTGGAAGCCCTATTGCCGACGTGGCAGATTGACTTTCAGAATTCCCGGGTTCAACTTCGACAAAAAGATCTCATATCCCAGATCGAAGATATCTCTCATCGCATTTTCGAGGGATTGCTTCCTCCCCAAGATTAATTACGGCTTCGATGATTCACGGGATGTTGGGCTGACGGCTGGAACCGATATATTCCAAATCTAATTTTCTTCAATTATCTTTCCAATATTATATTCTCAGGTTCGATATCCATACGATTTGGATTGCCATTATTTGATATGGACGAAATATGTCCATAATGACCTCAAATTT